TTAGCGCCTTGGAAGCAGCCGTTCAAGCAACACATCTTGACAAGTGGTGATGTCAATGAAAGTCTTCCAACACGTTCTGTCAAGCAGCTAGGGAGATGCGCAAGTCCTTGAAAACATAAAGTTTTCTGTCACGTAGCTAACCTAGTGGGCAAGCCATTTAATTTGGACCAAGACTTTGTCAAACTAAGGAACCACGAACTTGAGTAGATGTCCAGTTTTCTAGGATGGTCCCGTGAAAAAATGTGACAAAGCATCCTTCCATCTCAAGTCGTCGATGCTTCCAGCCCTTTCTCCCCTCAATGGCCTTGGGAGTTCAGACTTTGCCGAACCTTGGCGAGGAGCACCTCTTTGACCTGAGCCAAGTGCGTCCGACAAAGACCGCAACACAACAAACTCTCAACAAAGGGAATCTGACCTGTCTTGCCCTCACCTCGACCTTCACAAATTATGACATGTCTGCGTCTACCTGAAAATTGCACCAGCATAGACCCCAGATAGCAAAAACATGCAACCTGTCGCCACCACGCGCACAGCCAGCTCGCAGCACCAGCACCAACACCGGCACCCAGCACCAGCACCAGCAACCTGTCTCGAAAATGCGCACGGGCATTGGACAGCGCCCTGCAATGTCAGCAGGTCCAAAGCATACACAGGAACCTTTTTGACACACTTGGGTGTATCTCCTCTACCAGCTCTATCTACCAACCAAACAAACCAACCCACCTAGTCGGTACAAGGCCACCGATGTTTCTAATCCTTGCCCCTTCCGACGGAGCCCTTTTCATTGCTTCGTCTGGAAGTCATAGGGAAACGCAGGAGTGGCTTCAAGTCCTGCGAAAACAAGCCTCCAAGAATCATCGTCCTTAGATGTCCTTGGATATACCTGTCTCCACCACGTCCACAGCCAGCTCACAGCACCAGCACCAGCACCGGCACCCGGCACCCAGCACCAGCACCCGCACCAGCGCCCGGCTCCGGCACCCGGCACCACCACCAACCTAGCCAGCTCACAGCACCAGCACCCCCACCGGCGCCTGGCACCCAGCACCGGCACCGCACAGCACCAGCACTAGGCACGCGCCACCCAGCACCAGCAACCTGTCTCCACCACGTGCACAGCCAGCTCACAGCACCAGCACCAACACTGGCACCCGGCACCCAGCACCAACAGCAGCACCAGCAACCTGCCTCCACCACGCGCACAGCCAGCTCACAGCACCAGCACCAGCACCAGCACCGGCACCATCAACCTGTCTCCACCTGCACAGCCAGCTCACAGCACCAGCACCCCCACCGGCACCCGGCACCCAGCACCAGCACCGGCAACCACACCAGCACCAGCACCGGCACCCAGCACCAGCACCAGCAACCCGTCTCCACCACGTGCACAGACAGCTCACAGCACCAACACCAGCACCGGCATCCGGCACCCAGCACCAGCACCGGCACCAGCAACCTGTCTCCACCTCCACCCCGTGCACAGCCAGCTCACAGCGCCAGCACCAGCACCGGCACCCGGCACCAGCACCTGTCTCCACCACGTGCACAGCCAGCTCACAGCACCAGCACCGGCACCCGCCGCCCAGCACCAGCACCGGCACCCGGCACCAGCACCAGCATTCTGTCTCCACCACGTGCACAGGCAGCTCACAGCACCAGCAGCAGCAGCACCCAGCACCAGCACCGGCACCAGCAACCCGTCTCCACCGCGCGCGCAGCCAGCTCACAGCACCAGTACCGGCACCAGCACCAGCACCAGCACCCTCACCCAGCACCAGCAACCTGTCTCGAAAGCGCGCACGGGCAACTCATTGTTATTTGAAGACAGAACCCCATAGCTTTGCTATCTGGGGAAAAATGGATTGCTTAATCACGACACTCATACCTATACATGCAAGGTTCCCATCTTGGATTCAATCTTGGTGTCGGCAAAGGCACAACCCTTTCTCTGATCCTCCTGTCTCAAGGTTTCTGGTTGGTATAGGATTTCTGCTAAAAGTAAAAAGCAAATCTATCGTTGGCCAACTCTTTGGCTTTCTTTTTGCCTGCAGCTTTTGAGCTTTCCCACGCACTGCTTGGCCAACGGGTGAGGGCCATGCCTGTACGAGCACCCAAGTGCTGACCACTTGCTCACCATTTGAGTCACTTTGTCAACACCATGTGTGTGTGTGTGCGAGTGTGTGTGTGTGTGTGTGTGTGCGAGTGTGTGTGTGTGTGCGCGCGCACCTTCCACTAAAGGAAAGTCCAAACTTCGAAAACAAAATTTGTGGGTTCGTGAGATGGGACGCCCGAATGCCCATGCTGACTCCTGGGGGGAACAATGCGTGAAGAAACGAAGAATGATTCAAACCTGCACAGAAACGCTGCTTCTCCGTGCCTCCGGACAAACGCTGCCATCGCCTCTGCAATCCGCTTCCCCAGCTTCGCCAGCGCCCTTGTCAGGACCACGCGTCCCGTGCCGCGTTTCTGCGGCTTTCTGAGCTTCGTGTGGCTAAAGACTCCAGGATCGAGCGAGCGAGCGACTGCATGTTGTGTGGTGTTCCTCTTTGTCGAGCTTCAAATTAGATAAGTCCATGTCTGGCCAAGTCCTGACCACTTCTCTGACTGCTAGAAACTAGCCCCGCAAAAAAATAACGGACACGCAAATAGTATCAAAAAGTAATTGGTACTTAACAAACATATCAAAGAAGCAATTGGGTCGCCTAGAGGCTTCCATCCTGAAGCCCAATGCGATGCTTTCTTAGTCAAGTTGACGTAATTTCAATGCGTTTTACAGTTTTACATGTTCCTTTTCCATGCCAGAGCAAGTGGCCTCAGGACATCAGCATGTTTGAAGGCTGCCTCGAAATTCTCCAAGGCCTAACTCACAAACAGGGAAGCAAGGCTGTCTGTTCCCGTCTTTCAGCCTTGAGGAAGCCATATATCATATCTCAGAGCATTTGGGATATTTTACAACTAAGTAGTTGATTCTTTCTTTGTTCTTACTTAGCATGTTTGGACCTTTCCATCTGTGTTATAGGGGGCTAAGTGTGCACATGGGAATGAAAACGCATATGGCGGGCTCGTAGTCGGAACACATCTTCTGTTGACCAATCTGGATGTTACACTGTTGTTGAAGTGCCCAATGTTCATGATACATCATCATACTCTGGCCCCTTTCCAGCTTCTTCAAAGGGGAGGAGGGCACATGGCCAATAAGTCACCTATCTTATGTTCATCGCCAAACACGTGATCCATATGAGCAAACGGGAAACTCGGGGGCCCCTGGGTGGAAGTTAACATTTCTTTGGGAGGTGTCGTCTACATGTATATAAAGTAAACAAACTGTCCATTTCACAAGTGCTAAGATGTGCAGTGGGATCTGAAGCAATCACTCAGAGCTGCTTCTCAATGGGAATACTCCTACTTAGTTGGGTCAAAATGGTTCGGCAAGTAGAGCGGAAAGGAAACACGATAAATTGCAAGCTCCCACAATCGGAAGTCGTCATGTCAGTGGGCAACTGGCAACTGGTTTGCGGAGGCATCCAAACCTACAATCGGGATATTGTTTGGGATCGTGTTTTTGTACTAGTATGGCTTTAAATCCATGTGTTTTCCCGGAATCCTTTCTGATTGTTGTGTCCGGCTATTGTGCCATGTCTTGGAGAAAGGCAAGCCAACACATGCAAACAGCAAAGACTAGAGGTATCGTTATCATAATTATGTTGGCAAGACAATATTGAGATCCCCATCTGGTCCAGAGATATTAACTTCCAGAGATCCTGGTGTTATATATGTTTTGTTCACTTGAGAGGAGGGAGACACGAAAGGTAGGACAGCGGGAAGAGAAGAGAACGCGAGAGGCAGGAACAAAAATGCAATGTTCGACATGGTGGTTTATCCCCTCGGAGGCGACCTTTTGTAAATATATGTTCATATGCACTCTAAATGTTCAAACATATGCTCTCGAAATGTTCAAAAAGATTCTTAGGAAAACAAACTTGCCCCATGGCTCAGATCATCGGTGAGCATTGAATCGGAGCACCATAGGATTTGAACTATCCTGAAACCATAAGAGGCTCACGAAGACGCTCCCCAGGAGAGAATTGACGTGCTTCACAAAACAAACTCTAGGTATGTATCCCCTCGGGGAACACCTTTCGTGATTAGAATTTCATATGCACTCTTTCTGAATGTTCAAGAGGGTTTCAACTATCCTGAAATCATGAGAGGCTCACGAAGACGTTCTCCAGGAGAGAATTGAATTTAGAGGGGGGGGGGTCTGTATTGAAAAATCAATTCCAAGGGGGCGGGGCGGGGGGGTCCGTATTGAGAAATCAATTCGAGGGGGGGTCTGAATTGAGCGATCAATTATTCGACCCGGACGTCCCAACACTTGCTTCGCAAGACAAACTCAAGGTATCCCCTAAAGGGCTACCTTTCGTGATTTGTGTTCGCCGTTTCCTGTGCAAACCAGGCGTTTCACACCAGGTGATTTGGTGGTCTTGCAGGTCTCTCCACTCAGCACTCCGAGGGCTAGGGGCCCAGGCTGATTCGCCTACTCTTCGGTTTCCCTTGGTGAGGGCCACGATCCAACTCTTGTAGGCGCCCTGAGATCGCATTGTACAAGAAAATAAAACGGATGGTCCACGATAGAATGACTTTGCGAAAGACAATAAGCTGTGCATGGTTTCTGTGGCTAGTGCCCAGACCTGAAAGGCGAAGTATAGTTGTACTGCTGCAATTCGGCGGCTTTCAGCGGTGGATTTGAGTAGCTTCTTGCTACTAGTAGTATGGCCAGGAGCTTCTAGTAGCGTCCTTGCTCCTAGTAGTGATGCCCTTGCTCCTAGTAGTGATGCCCTTGCTCCTAGTAGCTTCTTGTGCCTTGCGGCACGGAATGAAGTTTCTCAGATGATCGATGGCCTTGCATTAAATAAACTCAATATCGATACCGTACATCTGAATCTATTTCTTCAAGCTTGACTACACCCTATGTCATTCAGTCTCTGTGGGGGTGTTGGGGCGAATCCATGTTTCGATTCAGGATTTCTGCAGATTGTTCACTATGTTGCTGTTAGATCGAGTGTGTTTTAAATTTCTTATTTTACATCTCTCGAGACTCGAGACCTTTGCTATGCCAGTCCATCCCAAGTTATGTAACCTGCAGGGCATAGTTCTGCGTGAGCTCCTCCAAGACCTTCGGAGCCTTCAGTGCCACCTGCTCTGCGACGCTGGTCCAGGTCGTCCACCAGGTATTAGCTGGCGACTCTGTTGGTTTTGTTCTTAGAACATGAAACAACATGAGATAACATGGCAGTTGCAGAACAACACAAGAACAACACTGGCAGTTGTTGGGCAGCATGAGACAACATGGGACACCATGACAAAGCATCTTCCGGCGGACATGGCTCGGCTGAAGGATCGGCTACTAGTAGCGTCCTTGCTACTAGTAGCGATGCCCTTTGTTCCTAGTAGCTTCTTGTTACTAGTAGCAATGCCAGGAGCTACTAATAGCGTCCTTGCTACTAGAGATCGGAAGCCACTTCCCCACCTTCAGAAGCTCCTCCTCGGGCAACTCGGATCCTCGATGCTTCGAGATTGGTGGATGGGCGGATGGGAACAGGAGGAAACATGCTAATGACGCATGACCTATTCTATGGGTATAAGTATACGCTGGTAAGTAGCGGAAATTCTATGTAATTTTAGGGGGTGACCGCCTCATCAGCGACCAAGCACTCCGACGGCCGGCCTCGAGCCCACCAGACTTGTGCATTGCAGAGGTTCACTCCCTCACCTCGATGCAGTCTGCTGATTCAAAACAGACCGAGCTGATGTATATTATATAGTGTTCCGTTTTTGAGGGGTCAGTAGTCCAAAAGGTCAGATCTACAAGTCCGTCATAGTCGGTCTCGAAATAGGTTTCAGCATGTTTCAGCAAGTCTCCCCCCACTTAGATGTTGACCTAAATTCGTACGTCCATGGAATCCCATGGAACTCAGGTGACGGAATCCACAGGCTATGAGTAAAGATTCCCATGCAAGTCCCTGCCTTCGGCCCCTTGGGCCCCTTCGGCCCCTCGGGCGTCCGCCAGAAGCTCATCCTGCCACTGTTCTTTCATCAGTTCAGTTTGCTCCGGCAGTTTGAATCTGTTCGTCGTCTGTACCATTGTAATATGTAATTATATATGTTTACCCATGTTCCCACAACACCAGGCCTCTAAAGAGCGATAGCAGCCCGGGCGATCCTCGGGCCTGCGAAACCACGACTCGAACGAACGGCAAAGCCGGACTCGAACGGCTGTGCCTCTGCCGGAAAGGATTCTCCAAAAAGTCCACCAGAACACCGGCCTCCCACGGGGAGCAGCCGACATGTTACTGTACTCCAAACAAGTGGAAAGTATAAATCATCAATCGTAAAACTACCATACATTTCTGTACATTTCCCAACATCTTTTTTGACGTGACGCGCGCTGAGAGTGTCCAAAGGCTGTTCAACCCAGACCATGGTTTTCAAATGTTTTCGACCCAACCCCAGCCTTGAAGAGTCCTCTGAGGAGAAAATCCTGATCAACAGGAGCAGTACGGAGAAAAATTGCTTCCCAATCCCGCTCAAACCTTTCTGATTCACCAAGCACCCCTTCACTGAGCGCAGTCCTCGCCCTTCCGCTCCTTGCAGTGAAGAACAAGTCGCATGTATTTTACGCCCATGCGTGACATTCTCAAACGAGTATATAGTTTGTCCAAATTCAAGGAGCCTCAATCTGCTGTGAACAGAAGAACACAAAAATCCGTTGTTTCTTCTAATTAGCTTCTGTATAAGCTGCTATTTGTTTCATGCTGCTGTGTCTATGTCAGAGAATTACAAGCCAAAACAAGTTTGTTCTCTCAATGCTTTGCCAACAAATCACCCCTTTTCGATGCACGGAGTCAGAGCGGCGAACACATCCACTCCTTTGCGCCGAAGCTGGTGAAAAGCACCGGGGCATCTGCACGCCACGATGCTTTTTGGTGCTCCAACATGGACCAACATCCAGGCTGTGAAGCATGTGGTGGCACTGTGGCAAGCTCAATTTACTTCCAACATCCAGAGTCGTTGGATAGTCTTGTGGGTCATCGTTGACCTTTTCAAACCTTCTCTGCCGGCCACAGGACTGACTAGCTATTTTCCAAAACAACTTTCTGCGCGCAGTTTGGCAGATGTTTTGGCATCTGGTTGCTTCTTCGCGCCTAGCTTCAAAAGAGCTGCGACGGTCGGCAACCAAGGCTTGGTAATGGACAAGGAGAGTGTGCCAATGCCCGAGTTGAAGCAGACCTCCAGCTCGAAAGTCGATGGCGCATGATCACACTGAATGGCGCCAAGATGATCTTCAAGATATTGTGGCATCATGTTTGTGTGGACAATGTTTTCCTCCATAGGGAGTCTGATGAGACTTTGCAGCTTTGTGACTGTGTCCTTCTTTGCTGAACACTCCCATCCTAGCTTGGACCCAAACCACCAAATCCGGCTGCGCTGGAGACTGCATCATCCACTCATGGCCCTGAAACCAGCCATGCGTCTATCAAAAAAAATACTTCTCTCTTGTTATCTCTCTCTCTCTCTCTCCCTCCCTCCATCCCTCCCTCCCTCCCTCGCCCTCTCTCTGCCCAAACAATGTCGGTCAGGTTCAGAAGGAATTCAGCGTTCACGTGTTGATTCAAAGTCCTTCAAGTTGTTCAAGTTGCTAGTGGCGTGGGGGGGGGGGGGCGATGGGTGATAGGCGGCCGATGCGGTTGTGCAAGCGAGCAGGCCATCACCTTCAATCGTAGCTGCTGCAAATGTTTCATGGTCGGAGTTACTACGTTGCGGAGATGCTTTGCATGCCAGGAAGAAGGATGAAGAAGGTGTCTTGTTGCCACACAATGTGGACTGGCCTGCAGCCTAGCGGGCCTAGCGCCTACTCATGAGTTGCAAAATGCAAAGCGAAAGCAGAAAGACCCCTGTTGTTAAAACCCAAAGAAGTCTGCACTCACATTTGTGGGTCACAAGTCAAAGCTGGGTGTGCACTATACTACGCTGCCAATCTCCCGGTCCTTAAGCCGCACTCCTTCCACTTCCACCAGAGTTGACCTCCACAAATCACAGCATCCTAACCTCTTGGCTACACCAGTAGCAAGGACGCTACTAGTAGCTCCTGGCATTACCACTAGTAACAAGAAGCTACTAGTAATAAGGCACCTTACTAGTAAATTACGTTTTCCCTAAAAATCTAGGAACCAAATCATTAGTGCGAGCGCTTCTTCGAGGAAGCTTCCTTCAAGAAGCGTGAGCTATACTGCGTCCTAAGTAGCAGCTATTTAAGCTACTAGCTTGTCCCTTACTAGCTACCTACCCCTAACTAACTAGCTACTACTAGCTACCTCCAGCGGCCTACCCAGCCCCTATAATAAAATGGTAACAAGGCACCTTACTACTAATAGCGTCAAAACTTGCGGACGAACTCACAGGAATTAGTGCCTGCCTGTAGACTCCATCCTGCATCTCTGGCCCAATTAGTCGAATTCTCCATTCGAGACGTGGGAAAACCTCACGCGAAGGGCCGAGAGCTTGCTTCTCTGAAGGGGACTGATGGGCTTTCGAAATTCAGCTAGTCGGTGTTATGTTTGTCACTTTTTTCTTCCAAACTGAAACACTCGTTGGATGGATCGTTGAAGACTCGGAAAGACTGGGCTTGTTAGCAAAGTAGGCAGTCTCCAAGCCGTGGACCCGTTTGGAAGTTCTGAGACCTCGACCTTCGCCAGGAAATCCCATAAGCCTTCCTGAGGTCACGAGGTGAGACACACGCTTTTCACCGTCAGTTCCATTCCTCCCCTGAAATTCGACGGTCGAAGCCCCCGGGCACCAGTTACAAAGTTCTTAAAGATCAAAGAATCAAAGATCTGTGTAAGGTCTGTGATTGTGGAAGCACCTCCGCATGGGGTCTCGGTCGAGTTGTTGCAAGCTGCGGTGCTCTGTGTCAAGGCACCCAAGCAAACCAAAACAAAAATGTGCTATGCTGAATCAGCAATCGGAGAGAAAGGACAGATGATACTGAATCTCAGGCAATGCGTTTGTTTTTTTCGCTGTTCCTTCTAGGATGCAATCTGTCACTTAGGCATTCCCAGTCAAGTGAGATTTAACTCCGGTGCATACCACTGACTGGCTTTGGATCCCCATCCTCCACTTTCCGTCCTCCGCCAGCCATCCTTCCATGCCCGTGCGAGCACCCAGGACCCAAAGGTCTACACGCCTTGCCGTGGCATTTCGACAGCTGCGTGGGTCATTTACAGCTGCGCATCAAAGTACAAGATGCCAAAGCATGGATGGTCAACGATCCGCATAAGCACGACAAGTTTCGAGTCCGGGAGTGGCACAGCCAAGGCTAGGTTAGGCCGTGCTGAATTCTCCCACATCAAGCCCATCTCAAACCTCTGACCAAACTCATTGCAGCCTACCTTCGGAAGCGCAACTTTGGTCCTTTGCGGTTGCATCCAGGGCAATAAGGGAGTCTTAAGCTTGGTCCAAAGTCGGGTGTCCCGTTGGTGCATGAAATTGGCATAAGGCGAAATAGCGCTCTCTTTGCTCTGCTACTGGAAAGGAACGCTGCATCACGCATCCCTGACGCTGGAAGCATTCAATAAGACCCAAACTCGGACCCCAAGTGCAGCCTTGATGGGAATGATGGAAAATTCAGCTGCAGGAGTGCCTTGGAAGAGAAAACCTCTTGCAACATCATATTAGAATAGCCAACTACCAAAAAAAACACATAAATATACCGTAAATATATAACTTCTTGTTCTTGTGAGGTCGGTCTTGATGTGCTGATCTAGTCACCTAGTCACTACTCCAGAACCTGTGTCTTCGCCAACTCAAACACTCAGCTGTCATTTTGCCCTCACATCTCATACCCGATCGAACACCAAAGAATCTGCGTCAAAACCTGCCCAGACGACCCCGGGCCCCGCACCCAGGCCAAGGTGGCCGGAAAGCCATGGCGTTCCCGGAAGCTGCGGGTCGGCTCGCCCAAGGCCTCCCAACCTAAGAGGATCGGACGAAGGATTGGAATGATTGAAGGTCTGGTGGCGTAGTGAATGGCATGAACTTGAACAAGTCCCAAGCGAATCCCAAGTGGAGCCTGCATTCTATATGGTCAAGAAATGGTGGATGTCAATCATAGATTCACCTCTTAGGCCTAAAAATTACTCAGCTCCCAACTGCCAGAGAGCAGGTCTTGCTTTAATTTGTCATCTTCCTTGAAAGGTTCAATTCTTTTCCAAACCAACTGCATCGATTTTTATATAAGTTTGACATAAGTTTGACAAATCAATCCTTTGAAAAGGAAGTAGGTGCACGTCTGGCGGCAATGTGTGGCAAAAATAGTAGTTAGAGGAAGAAAAGGGACTGACATAGACCCATTCACTGTTGAAGATCTCGTTGGGTCTGCTTCTGGCTAGAGTATCTTGAGTCACTCTCTCTTTCCCCTGCCGGATGTGCGAAACCCCACGGAGCACACCCAAAAGTACCTCAAAGCAAGCCTACGACCCCCTCCTTCTTGTCTCCAGCTTTGCTCGCGGCGACGAATCGCTCAAATGCCATGCATGGCGTCAGATCTTCGTCCCTCTAGGTCAGTGATGCTGTGGACTGCGACACACACGTGTCATTGTGACAATAGATCATAGTCCATCTGCCATGAATTTCTGACAAGCAATCTAAACTTGGTAGGTTTGTATGAACATATTTCAGAATAGAGAGACCTCCGAACCAATGGGTTTTGGTCTATGTTGACTTTGAAAAAAGGGTCAAACTCAGGGGGTTCCACGGGTCTCCCGATCTTTAACACACTGCTAGGAACAAGAAGCTACTAGCAGCAAAGGGCATCGCTACTAGGAACAAGAACGCTACTAGGGGCTACTGGCATCGCTACTAGGAGCAAGGACGCTACTAGGAGCAAAGGGCGTGGTTACCCACGTGCGTTGTTGAGTCATTCTTCATAGTTCATCTCTTGGCTCTTGCTTCCTTGACTCGGCCGGTTGGACTGTCCGGTCTGTCCCAGTGTGGTCTGCATCATCAGAATGACCTACCGGTAGGTACCCATAACATGAAACCGTAAGAAGATCTCAACTGTCATGGCACCCCGTCCACCCAGCCCTTTGCAAGCCATTGCTTTTAACAAACTGTCCCACCCAGTGCAAAGCATATGTCCAGGAAGTTTTTCCACCTGTCAAAGGTCTTTCGCTCTTGGTCTTCGGACTCTCCTTGTTTTTGTGACAAAAAAAAGAGACCGCTCCTCTTCGGCCGCGTCCCGTTCGGGCGGTGCCGTGGCTTCAATGGCCTCGTCCACCTGCGTGAGATCATGCAAAAGCCTCATGCGACCGGAAAACCAAAGTTGCCAAAGCCTTCAAGTGTAGTTGTTGCTCTATGTTTTCCATACAACCAAAGGCTTTATTGTGTCAAAATTGTCTGTCAAAATTGTCTTGTCGTCTTTTCAGTTGAAACCCCCACAAGCTCGCTCAGTCAAAAAAAGAAGCTACTAGTATCAATCATCTTCCGCAGGTCAACGGCCCTTTAATCGTTCTTCTGCTTCTTAATGTCTGTCAGCAACTTCAGCACGTTGACAATGGTTGCTCTGTCGCCAGGACCCAAGCGTCGCTTCTTGGCCCGGTCATCGCCGTCAGAACAGTCCATCATCTCCTGGACCTCCGGCAAGTCTTTGGCAATCTGCAAAATGCTTTCAGTATCAGGATAAAATCTGAGTAATTTCTGAAAGTCTGTCAGACTTGCATTTTGATAGATCATTTGCATGGCAGCACTCCAACGACGGGTTGGAAGAATCTGCGTACCGCGAATCTCACCCAATGGCCTTTTTGCCACTTCCTTCTGTAAATCTTTGTCTGTGACTTCCAGCATGTGGAACATCTGCGCAAAATTTCCATATTTCGCAGCATCCAGGAATTGGTGTTGCAGTTCCTGCCGCATCTTTGTAGATGAACGCTGATGTTTGAGCGTAGTTTCGATCTCATCTATGGACGTGGAGCCTGCCTCGAGCGTGAAGCCTGCCAACAGGGCAGCACCTTCAGCCACTTGAGTTCTCTCCTCCGCTGTATCTGTTGCCACACTGGCCGTCGCAGTCACAACATTTCCCTGTCGCACATCACGAAGAAGTTCGTCCATGGGTAAAGAATCATCCATGGGTAAAGAAACATGCCTGTAAAGGTGCTGAGCATGCTCAATGCGAAACTCTGTGCCTTGCTTCTCAATGCTTTGCACGTAGTTCTTGATGCTGTGGTGCGACATGTTCATGTCCCCAATGCGGAATCGACAAAGCCAGTCGTTGGGCGAAGCTGTTTCGTCCCTCTCTTGAACATACAAAACCTGGCCGACATGGTGAAAGTCCTGGACACGATCCTGGATTGGTTTCAGCCACTCCTCCAGCCTCTCCAAACCCTGCAGCAACTTCTGGGACAAATCCTGAGCGCCTTCAATAGCTGAGAGTCCTTGTACCAAACAATCCAAAAGCGGTAAGAACTTGGTCAGGAACAGCAGAATTGACTGCGCAGCAAAGGCTCCGACCAACCCAGCAGCTACACGTGCAGCACTGGCAAGGAGTCTCTGGCCATCTTGCAACATCTTCACCAGAGCAGCCCAACCATAAAAGCGTGGAAAGGGATCTTGTCGAAAGACATAGTTCACGATGTTCCAGTGGAACCTCTCCACATGCTCAGGTGTGGCTCCAGTCCAGCACACAACGGATGGAGACGCAAAACTCATGCAATACATATTGACAATTTCATGTTGAAGCCAAGCAAGCTTTAGGGGCCAAGATTGCCGTTCTCGGCTCGACTCCAAAAACATAAACAAGAGCTGAGCTAATGCTCCGCCGCGAGAGTGGCCTGTCAAGACCAGTGTCCACTCTTTCTTAAGCAGCTGGTGCTTCTCTGCGAACTTGTAGAGATGGTCTCCTATTGTGTCCATATTTTGCACAAGGTCATTCCAAAAGCCCATGTGAATGTTTGAAAAGGGCTTGAAGGCCTTGTAGGGCTCACCGTCCTTAGGCTTTCCCAAAGAAAACTTTAGGTTTGAGACCCAGTCAGAACAATTTACGGTGCCACGAAATGCCACAAAGACTGCAGGGACATCCAGAAGACAAAGTCTGAGCCCAAACTGCATCTCAGAATTGACTTTGTCATTCCTCACTGTGAGCGTGTGGAGGTCGCTCACGTGGAAGGTGGGTGACTTTGTGCGGTCATAAAGCACTGAGCTGCTCCTCACTGCTTCCGCTTCCAGCTCGGGCTTCACCCAGGAAAGCCTTCCAGGTCGAGGCTTCACGACATCAACTTGTCCGATCAAATCCCGCAACTGTTGGACTGCCTCTGCTTGGTTGTTATAAATTTCTTCCGTGTTCCCATCAAAAACAATGGTGACCCGCCGAGGACTCTGCCTGATGCATTTCTGGATGTCTTTCATCAAGTCTTTCAGGTTCATACTCTTGCTCCAGCGTGATGGGTTCCTCTTGGCGCAGGCTTGCCCAAGGATTGCAAACTTCAACTCAGTCCAAGTCCATGCGCCGTTGCGAACCATGGCAGGCCTGGCAGGCCTTCAAATTAAGACTAAGAATTAGGAATGTGCGTGGATTGAGCCGAACCTCAGCCCAGCATTCCAATGAAAAACGCCAGAAAGCAAGCTTGCTGGACAACTCATCTACTAGCCACCAATGTTATGATATCTTTGGTAGTTCTCCTCTTCTTCTCGCACAGCAGGACATTGGATAATTCTCAAGAAACGATGGCTCGACTAGAATCCTCCTCTTTGGGTGTAAAAGCAGCACACCAACGAAATCCTCGTCTCATCAGGGCTGGACCTCCAGCCATACTGTAGGTTTGGTTTTAGAGGATTGCTAAACGGACCTGAGAAATGCATTCGTGTGGCCGCCATGTTTGGGTTGTTCCCCAATAGCCATGCTATGGGGTCTTGCAAAACTAATAGGCGGACGGGCGCCGTCGGGTCACCGTCAGAGCTGGTGGGTGGATGGTGTCCCGGTCATGTTTTGATGGCGTCCGGGTCATGTGATGCTGGTGTCCCGGTCATGTTTTGATGGTGTCCCGATCATGTTTTGATTGTGACCCAGTCATGTTGTGATGGTGTCCCGGTCCTGTTTTGATGGTGTCCCGGTCATGTTTTGATGGTGTCCCGGTCATGT